TGCAGTCTAGGCATGCTAAGTAATAGTTAACGTCTGGCACCACTTCTGAGTTTTCTTAATGCCAGCTATTAAAGAATCCCATCTATAAAGGAGAGACAAATGAGTTTAACAGCTGTGCATAGCTACTCTAGCTGAAACACGCTTTGATGAGCCATTTGTGAATAACAGTAAAGTAGGGTTGCAACTTGCCAGACACAAATGCTTGAGTATGAGGAGGAACATTTAAAACAGAAACCTGGTTTCATGAGTTACAGTCACTATTGAATACGTAATAATAATGTTCCTGCTTTTAGAAAGCAAGGTGGCTTTTGAGGAAGCAGAGGAGACTGTCCATTAATAATGCCGTTTATTTGTTACTGAAAGTTTCCAAGCGATTGACAAAAGGTGGTACTGTTCTGTTCCAAGTGTTGCCAACCTGCAACTTCTTGGAACAGGTTTACTTCAAGTCTTGCCACAGGGATGCAAGTGATTACAAGTGATCAGAAGAAAAATAAACTAAGCAGTGGGAAGTTATGGAGTAAAAGTTCTTAACTTCTCCAATTTCTAGAGAAAGTTGTGAATATTGTGTGTAGACTCAAATCTAAAGGGCAAATAAAGTGGGTATCCAAATCAATTATACATTTATATATATCATAACTTCCAGGTAATTTATCTAGCTGTTTTATGGGTTTGGGTTTTTTAATATTTGTGACTAGAACACTTAAAAGAGTTTCCCTGATCTTGCTGTAAAGCATCAGTCTTTTCATGTTTTTTATTTATGGGATTGATATGATAGCTTTTAGATTTGGATGACACTAGTATGAGAATTGCATCTAGTTCCTTCACTGCCCATTTCCTAATGGCTGTTGAAATTTCTGGCAGGAGGCTTTTTTGCTTTCTGATTCAGTGGAGAAATAAGAAGTTAAAACTCAGTACATTTTGAAATAATAACCCTAGGTATTCATTAGAACTTAACTTGTTAAGATGCCAATAAAATTTATGCCAATTTTTATGGCACACACTGTAGTGAAGCTATTAACTGTAACGAAGAAGAGATGGTCAAAAATTTCAGAACATTTTTTAAGTTTTAAAATACGCTATGCAAAATGAAGTGGTTCATATTAATTGCTCAGCAATTGTGCAGAATACTAGACTGCCATTCTTGCCAGGTATATTCAAGAGTATAAAATAAATCTACTGAACTGTTAGCTGAGTAGTCATTTGCCCAGCCTAATGACATACTGCAATTAAAGTGCTTAAATATTTATTCATAGCATTGCTTACATGCACACAGTTATGTTAAGGACATGATTACAAAGCAGCCAAGTGTTCTGAGAACTCTCAATAGCTACATTTAGATGTGTAGTAGTTCAGTAAAAACGTGGGGAAAAACTCCTTTATTGCTTTTATTTTCTTCTTTAAGCTCTGCAAGGATTAGCTCATAAAAGCTCGGTTTGCAGCTGGTTATATGAAATATTTTCTTGATGTTTTAGAGACCTGTGTACATCTTGGGCTTGTTATAACAGAAGGATAAATCTTCCTGTCTTATGGCGCATGCAATTGCAAGTAAACTTGTCTTCATCCTTTCCTGGAGAAGCCTTTTGCTTACAACACTAAGTCACAAATGAAGTATCTCTTACAGCTAAGGCACTTCTGTCTCAATCTTTTGGTAAAAGATGCCATTACTAATCAGGGTTGCCAGATTTTCTTGGTACCGAGTTTACCATGATTTCAAATTACCATGTTAAACTGATTTCCTGCTCTTTCCTTCCTTTACATTATTTCACTATGTTAAACTGCGTTTGCAGAAATCTAACTATTGTGAGCATGTAGACACGGAACCGGTATCCTCATAAAATGTGCCCTGGCAATAGAAGGAAGCCGTGGAGGAATGTTTGCTGGTTTTCAGGCCCCTGAGTGACAAATATTTATCTTTGAACTGTTTTGTCTCGTTACAGTGGAGCAAAGCAGTGTTCCTGGTTCTGCTGCCATGCAGCTGAGGTTTTCATTTGAATGTTTCCAACTGCAGTGGAGGAATGTCATAGCACAAGTATTTCTTAAAGCAATAGGTGCTCCTTTTGAAAATTTCAGTGTGGTAGGAAAATTGAAGACAAGCATTTATCCCCCCCCCCTCACACACACCCCCCCCCAACTTTAAAGGGACACTGTGAACTTAAAATTCTAGATATTTGAGGGTTTTTTTTCTTCTTTAAAAATTGTGGTAATGGCAGTGGTTTTCCTGCACACTTTTGTGGCTTGCTGTTCTGTTTCCAATCCAGAAATGCTCTATGAAGGACTTGCACAAACTGATTCATTTCTCCTTGATAATCAGGTCAATCAATTGACCATAAAGCAGTATTAAGCACAAGAGACAGCCTGATTGCCTGAGGAGAAATGACAGAGGGAAAAGAAACTAGGTGATGTCCAGCTGAATCACTGTGATTTAATAACTTAATACCTGTCAGCTGAGCCACAGAAGTTGAGCTATTAGCCTGGCCAGTTGATAGGTAAAACGAATTCAGTAAATCAATTAAAGAATTCAATCAAATTTTTTTTTGTACCTTGCATTTGGAGTGGGATAACAGAGCCAACCTTTTTACTACTTCTCAGCTGAAACTTGCCAGTGCATTGTAAACTGGTTGTGTGTTTTTACCCTCTATTGTATTTAACAAGAGTGGCTAAAGTACTCTAGGTAACAGTAGAAGCTTTTTTCCCTGTTTTTCTTTGACTGGGGCCTAATCTGAAAGTTTCAAAGTCAGACATTAGTCTTCATCTAATATGCTAAAAATGTGCTTTTTTCTAGCAAAGCTTCATAAGTTCTCCTCTTTAGTTGTTTTCAATTGTGTGCTACTTCTCATGGCTTACATTTTTCGGTCATGAACTTTAATAATCCTTGAGAAAGTTAGATCTGTGACAGATTTTTGAAGATAAAAAAATAATTTCTTTTTAAAAAGTGCTCTACAGTAGAAATGATTATTAGTAGAAATTGATATGTTCCAGGGAAGTATCTATAGTAAAGTAATCCATTTTTTCTCTGAGTGCTCTAGAAATAAAATAATTCTATTTGGAAATAATTAGCTACTTGTGAGAAACCTTATTTTGCAGATGCTTAATGTATTTAGTACTTAGTTTTTATTACTTTTGGAAACCCACAGTTCAGTAAGACTGTTGTATATTGGCTGCTTAATAAAGACACTGAAGTAATAATTTCAAAGTCAGTACATGGTTGACTCATTTCCCTTTAAAACAATTCTTGTTTCATCTTAGTTTCTTGCCTTGTGGGGTACTGCCATAGGTAGATATGTGAAATACTTCATAAGGAAGGCAGATGGTCAACTATGACTACCATGCGCAGGCATTTTCCAACTTCTGTGGAGTTAGAGAGGGCATCGGAGGGAATTTGCATGTAATCGAGGAGGAGGGATAAAGGGGATCTTCCAAGTTCATGTTAGGAAAAATAAGAAAGGTTCTGTGCTTAGCTTGCCTGGGGAAAGGAAACGAGGTTGAACACTGTGGAATGAATAGTCCTCCCCACCTTAGAATCAGACTAGAGATGCAATCTACTTGTGACCAGCATTTTATTTTTTTTACTTTGTGTTCAAGTCTCAATTCAGTACTAATTTGGGAGCTGTTAGAAAGTAACAGAAGTGGCAATTTTCAAAGGTGTGATGCTTGTTGGATTACTGCAAGGACAGGGAAGCTATGCATGGATTACTGCTTCTTGTCTTCAGTGTGTAGCCTACTGCTTTTGCATCAGTTAAACCACTGCTTAAAAGACAGGTAGTAGTAAAGTAATTAATTGTCCTGTGATGGGAGTTGTTCGCTGCCTGGAGACCTGTTAATAACAGTACTAAAGATTCGGTAGTGGAGGTGAAATATTTCCTTTGATGTCAGAAATCAAAATAATAGCCAGTAAGAACCACTTAAGATACTGAACAAAGACAGAAGCATAATCATATCCTACATGCATGGGCAATGCATCTTACTTTTCCTTTTGAACTTCATAGAGCTACTCTGCCTGCCCATCCTTTCCCTTTACCCTGCATTGCAGTAACCATCCCTTTTATTGAAGAGGGCCAGACACACTCTGCTCGCTTGTCTCTTTGCCCCAATAACAGCATTAGACGTATTCTAGTCTTTAGTTTACGACAGACTTTTTCTAGTTTTCTACCCTATGTTCTTCTTTGGGAGGCACTCTTCTCTTTCTCTGTTTAGTTACTTTGTGATGATGGAACTAGCAATTTTAACTCCTTTTCCTTACCTCAGCATATTTTTGCTAGTCATAGTTGGATGATCAACAGCTGTAGCTTCCTCCTGACATCATTCTTGCCAGTGGAGTATCTGGTCTCTGGTCTACAAAATAGTGACTAATGGTTCTAATTAGAACTATCTAACTAGAACTGTCTCTTAGAACTAATAGACGTCTGAGCAGCATTTTCTGAACCCACTTTCTTGCCTATAGCTAACTTGTTTAGATTTGAATTACTGAGTTTGTTTAATGTAGCATTTTAAACCTAATGATCCAACTACACATTTTTTTGGTTTGCTTTTACTGGAGTCGTTTAATAATAGTAAGTGTAGAAATGAAACAAACTTGCTAAGTTTAAAAAAACAACAAAAAAACATTTTTGACAACATGATTTTTTTTTTTTAATCTAATGAGGTGAGACAGTTGAGTTTGAAAGCTGGATCAAAAGCTTATGTAATTTTGAGACCCTAAATATAGAATGGTGTAATGACACAAAAAGATCAATCTCTGTGCATTTGTTCTGGTGGAGTATTTTTGTTTTGTTTTTATTCTGTGCATGCAATTTAAAACTAAGCTGGATACCCTCTGCTTGGAAAAATGGTCTTGCTAATATTCCTATCTTATGCTATGTGCCAATTTAAATTGACATATAGCGTGTAGGTTTATTTATTTTAATTGTCTGGGTATGGGGTCTTTGGGGTTTTTTGTTCTGTTGATAGTAAAATTTCCATGCAGTCACTGTAAAATTTACCTTTTTTTTTTTTTTTAATAGTAGTGGAATGGGGTGATGATGTTAAAGCAGTGTCAGAAGATGAAGCCATGGTGCTGGTGAACCATCAAGCAACGGGTGATGTCTGCACTCTGATGATGTGCCTTCAGGATAAAGGCACGGTAGGCTACAAACGGGGAGTGGGATAGCTTCTGTGTATGCAATCTGTTACCTTGGGTGTGTTTGTATCTGTGTGGTACTGATGACTGGCTTTTGTGTGTTAATCCACCAAATAATCTCAAGGCCCTGAACAGGAAGCTTTTTGTTTAGATTTGGTTTAATGTGACAGCCAGTAGGTTGGAGCTGGTTTTAGACCATAAGCATTGCCTTTGAAGAAGGTCAAATACGAGCTGAGTCAGTATGCATCCAGTCTAGGTTAACAAAGAGAGAAGCAGATCTCCTTGCAGGTCATCATGTACTTGACTTTTTCATCTCACCTCGTGCCCTTGTGTAACTCATGCCAACTTTGCTCAAACCGACACAGGTCTAGCTTCTTGTTTATGACTTTATTCCAGTATGGAATTTTTCTCAAAGTTAGAAGCAAGTTGTGTATGTGATTTTGGTAGGAGTTCAGAAACTGAAAGTGACTTCCCTATGAGGGCATGTCCAAGCTAAGCTAGCTAGCTAAGGTCAAAATTGCTTGAGCTCTTAGTTCACAAACTCTTAAGCATTTCTTGGTGAGAAGTGCAACTAATGTCAATTGTTTCACACATTGCTATTCAGAAAATTCACATCTAGGAAGTGTAGTGCTGGAAACTAGAGTATGTGATCTAAACAAACAGGAAATGGAATTTATGTGCAAATCAGGAGGAAGGGGGTATGTATGATTAGGCTACAAAGGGTGGGAGACATACCTGCCAAGCCGAAAAAATGCATCAGCGCTGTCTGTCTTAGTGTTGTCTTCTTTCTTGTGACCATGTGGTGAAGAAACAAGGAAAACAACAATGGCTTTTTGTTGCATCTGCACAACTTGTAACTGGCACTCAAAAAAACCTCAAACCAAACTCAAAAAAGAAAGTATGAAAATGCCACTCAAGATTGAGCAGAGACTAATTTCTACTGTAGCCTAGAGAAGACTGTGTTTTAAAAGTACTTTTAATTGCTTCAATTTCTTTTGGAATTGAGGAAGTTAGGTATTTATGGTGTTCTGTACTGTATCCCAGTGAGTAGAATGACAGAATAAACACTCTTTAATTCCCTTCATCAAAATTATGCATAGGACAATCTATGATAAAGCTATGCCTGTGAGAGTATAGTCATATGGATATATATTGCATATAATCTTGACTATTGATGTCCCAGGTGTTTTAAATGTCATAGAACTTCTTTGACTCATGTATGTATACTAGTGTATATATAAATCTAAGCCATATTTATCCTGTTTGACTCCATAGCTAAAAAGTTTCAGTCAAGACAAAGTAAGTTTCAGTGGGTGTAGAAGATGTTAAAAATGGAGGAAGGCATTGAGATAGCAAATAATCCTCACCATGGAAATTGTTAGGTTTGCAGGTTTTCAGAAAAGCAAAACATCCTTAAAATCCCTATTTTTTTTCCCCTTAAATAATTGTAGTCATTGTTCTTGGAATATACATGTCCAGAGCCTAGTATGGCCTTAATGTTTTTAGCTAGTAAAGAAATAAAAAAAGTACGAGCTTCATTCAACACATGCTTCAAATATAGCAAGAGTAGTACAAGTGGCTAAAAATAATGAAAAGATTGGTATAGTTTATCCTTGATAGAACTTGCTGATTCAGGTGTTTTTAAGTAGCATGCTTCATATTTCTAAACAGAAGAGAATTGTCTTTACTTTGAGTAACTGTGAAACCACTGGAGGAAAAAAAAAAACCCAAACCTACCTGTCCAAAAGAAATCATTATACATTAGGCAACTATTTAAATTAGGCAGTTTTCTTTAAATACAGTTTAAACTTAACATGGAGTCCTTCACAGCCTTCATATTCACCTGTTAGCAACAAGATAGTAATTTCCAAGAATTGGGTTTATTTTTTTAGGATGGTTAAGCTGCAGTAATTCCTAAACACTTTACCAATCGGACAATACTTTTTAGCTCTCAAAGTATTTTGTGAAAGTGAAAGGCTCAATACCATTTCACACAGAAGGGCATACAAGAAGTAAAACAGCTTACCAAAGGCAGCCTCTAGGTGATGATGGTGCAGTGGCAGAACTAGGAAGACCTTCCTCCTGTGGCAGTCCAAAATGTCTTTTGCTTGCTTTTGCCAGCCAGTACAGATTGCAACCAGATGTAATCTGCAAGCATTTAGTGTTGAATGCTGCTTTTTAAAAAATGTTAATTTAAGACGTCAGAAGTGTTTGATTTAAAGTTCTATGTTTTTCTGTGTAGTGAGGAAGAATACTGAAATGATCTTGCAGCTTGACAATGTTTCCTAAGGGCCATGTCAGAAACCGTGATGGTATTTTTTTCTAGTATTTTATAAATTTTTTCATACAAATGGCAGTGTAGTCTATCTGTTTTAAACAAATTTAATCTCACTAAGCAGTAAGCTAAAATACATGTGTTAAGATGTTTCTTGTCTTTCAGAGTCACTTATGTGAATAAGGAAAACATGATCTCTTATTAGGGAAGTGGAACTTGGCTAAAAGTTAGACTTTTAATGGAAGGACTGGACTGGTATTGTTTGACTAATACATGTTACCATAAGACAAGCCACACAGAGCAAGGTTTCATCTGAATCAGAAGTGATCTAATTACACTTCTTACATAGTTAAAGAAATTGTTTTAAATTGTTTGTGAAAGTAAGTGTTAAAACAAACTTACTAAGTTAGTTGAGGTCTCATAAACATTAAAAGTTATGTGTTTAACAAAGAGAAGGAGCTTAAAATGCTGCCATTGCTGCTTTCTGACTGGATTAGGACTGATAAATGTGGATATTTTTTCTGATTTAGAGCAGAGAAGCAGTGTCAGGAGGAGTGCAGTGGATAGAAAAAAATAAGGCTTGCAGTTGTTTGAGTGCAAGTTTCAAGACATGCGTTCCCAAGTTTCATTGCTAAGTTAGAGGTGCTTGAAAGATGAAAGTCAGTCTATTCAGGATGCTTTGTTATGAAATCTATGTGGAGTGAAATGAAAGTGGGCCTGTGAATAGGAGGCACCTAGATTTTTTTATAAAATTGGTAAAAGCTTTTTTTACATTCTGAACTTATTTAAGCAGGAAGGATGAAGGAAAAAGGACCTGAAATGGCATCCAAAAATTCTTTCAATCCATAAACAACTATGAATCTGTGCTCAAAAGACTGCTGAATGTTTTTGCTTAAATGTCCTTGAAGTGCAAGTGATAAGAGACTCATCTGATAAGCATTGTTTTGTTCCTGAGGATACTAAATGGAAGAGCCACCACCAATATCTTGCAGCATCCTCTGTTCTGCCCTTGGTAGCAGAACAGGATGAATATCCATTAATCTAGTTTGCCTTTTGATTGCAAACAAGGTAATTGTGTCCTATTCTTTGAACTCCTCCTTTTTGATTTTATGCGTTAGAATGTATGTATATATTCATTAATTCATACAGAAAAATATTTCCTCTTTGTAATTCTAACCACTGCCTAGGCTTATAGGCAGATTTGTAATCACTGAGCTCTGGAGTTTGCCTCTTAGTAGCCCACTTCCAGCAAACTGTCTGTGTGTTTTGTCTTAGTTATAACTTGTACATCACACTGATCTTTCACACAGTCACATCACTCCTCAAAAAGACTGAAGAAGTCCAGGAATGCTAGTTAGAAGCCCTGTGTCACCTAAAACATGGTGGGGTGGACTTCAGACTCTGAAGAGCAATGATCAACTTTTAGGATAAACCTACCGTCATCTAAATAAAAGGACAATAAAAAATGGCATGGGAGGAGAGGAGCAGTAGCACTGCTGGGCAAGAGTTCCTCCTCCAGGGTTGCCATAGAACATCTAGGGACCAATGTTGACTCCTTAAGACACAAACCTTTTCTTTTCAGGGAGGCAGATTATTAAACGTGCATATCTCCTCCAGTAAAATAGATTATGTTGGTTTAACTTCTGCTTGATATAATAGAACAATAATTGTCAAAATGCCAAAGTAGTAGATTAACACTGATAGTCATATGGGTACTGCTGCAGTACTGCTGCAGGCTAAATCATCATCAGTGGAATTTTGGTGGTGTTTTGATTGAAGGATATGTTTCCCTACGCCGGCCTGTCATCTTTGGGCTGGTGCATGGGCATGAACTTAAGATATTGTAGTGCCTTGAAGAGCAGTAACACCTCTCAGTGATGCGTTTTTTAACTCTTGTCCTTAGGGCACACCTTTTCTTTCCTTTTTTTCCTCCCCTCCCTAAGGCTTTCTAATTTACCGAAACGAAAAGAATGTGAATCTCTGCAGAGAAGAATTTTTGCTTTAAGATCCTCTGTTTTATTTAACACAGGCCCAGGGATGGCTGTATGAGAAACCATTTCACCAATATTAGTCTCAAGTGGGGAGTTATACCTAGGAATTAATTTTTCTTTTCTCACTCACAAATACATAGTGTGTCTTTGTTCCCTTGGATGTGTAGCACTTAGTAAGATATACCACTGGCAGACAGGGAAGGATACTAGCATGTCACAGAGAAGAAATGGATGCTTGTTTCCAAAGCAGAACCTTTCATATCTTTGAGAGCTGTCCTTTTCTCTCAGACGTGGTTTCGTTTTCCACTTCCAGTGTTGCTAGAGGGTCCAGAAATGGGTGCTCTTGTGTTATCCAAGATCTTCAAATAGAAAGTTTGCTAGTATTAAAAAAACCACAAAAGTTGAGGTGTTCTTAATGTGCTCTTAGGCAAGGATAGCTAACTTCTAAATGTGACATTCAGATTTTGCTGGGAGATCAGCTATATGTCTAAGGTAGTAAAGTATCTTGAATGTTCTTTGGCAGGTGTGTTCTTGCAAGTGTGTAAAAACTTCACTTTGCTGAGCATCCAGCCGCAGTTGTCTAAGGATAGGTAAAAGAAACAGGATATGTGACAGTTACCTTTCTCCAAATATATAACCCAGGATTCATTTATAGCTTCTGTGGTTGAAAGGGAGAATAGGTACTCAGAGCACTCCAAGAGATAATTAGATTTCTTTGGAAGAAAGGCTTACTGATACATGCAACTCTTAGATACAAATTGCAAATTATTGACCTGCTTTTACAAAATGGAATTCCTGCATGAAATATGATCTTCTTTCTACAAACTCCACATAGACATGTGAAGATGTGAAAACAGGTAAAAGCCACCACCTTTCACTGTATCGAACTATTTTGTTAGAAGCATTGTTGTAGGCATGGATGTGGATTCTATTTCAGTTAATGTGCAAGCCTCTGGTTTTAGAGAGAAGTGTAGAGTACACTTCAGCAGTACAGGTAATCAATGAATACATGAACAATGCATTGTATTTTCTAGAGGAAGTCTTTATTTCTTAGACTGTCTTTGCCTCAAGTTATGTATCTTGGACAACTGGAAGATGCCAAGCAGAAAGGTGCCTGTTTAAAATTCAAAAAATGATCTTCTGACTAGCAAAGAAATGTCATGGTTCTCCATATGCTTTTTTGATAGTGATAAATGGAAGAGTACTATGTTATATGACTTCAAGTTTCACTGAACTTGAATCAGTCTTGGTGTGGCCTTATAACATAGGGAAGAGTAAAGGCAGTTAGCCTCATGTATGATTGAGAGCATGTAAGAGACACTGGATTTTCCAGTTTTGGGGAGCCAGTTCCTACCCCTCTCAAAATCTACATGTGGGAGCTATAAAGAGGAAAGACCTTGTGAGAGAAGAAGCTTTTCCATTCTGTTATGTACCTTTTCTGGAATAATTCTTCTATTTTAAATCTCAAAGGACTGAACAGATATAGTGTGTGCCTTCCCTGTCCTGTAAGAAGTGATGGTTAAAGTGAATCTAATAGCTCAGCCTCTGGTTTTGCCTTCTCAATGTGCTTCTTGGCCAGGACAAGGAGCATGACTTAATGAAATTCTCAGGGATGTATGTGACTGCTGTGCCATGAGAGAAATCGGTAATGGCATGTGGGTTGTACAGAGGTCTCAGTGAATGCTGCTGTTCAAAGATAGAGTGAGCATGTATAGAGCACGTGCACATCAGAAGCATGAGAACAACATGATCTCATCCCCAAAATCGCTAAGTACAGAAAAATACACGGAAACATGTTTTTGTGGTAGACATAAAACAGTTGGAGATTTCAAATACATATCTGTATTGGTTTGTGTACTTTAACAAATACTGAAAATGGTTTTAGTTTGCAGCTGGCTTGAAATTGTGGTGGTATGTCAATAAGAAGCATTACACTACCTGTGTGAAAAGTTGGAGTAGAAATTACTCTAGTGTATGACTAATAGTGTAGAGCTGTATATTATATTGCAAAAAGGGAGCTGTTTAATCCTGCTCTTGAGGGAGAAGTGTAGCACCTGTGCTGCTTTATACTTTGCAGCATAAAGGACTTTGTTCCATACATTTGCTAGTTTTATTGCTGTTGCAAGGGTGATAAGAATGTGACCAGTATATACATAATTCTCTGCAGTTGATATTTACTAAACTTTTTTTTTTTTTGAACTTTGCAGGTTGTCCGTCAGATGATGTGGCTGATGGATCATATTTTTAAGTATACAAACTTTGGCATTGTGTCTCTAATCCATGGAGACTTCTTTATAAGACAGGTAAATGGAAACACATAATAGTGCTTTGATTTATCCTTATATTTGGAACATTGTGGTGTTACGGGACTTAGTTGTTACCTACCAGATGGTTTACAGGATGAAATAACTATGTTGTAATGTGTGTATTTGGGTAGAGCTTTGTTCTGAAACTGCTTTTTTTCCCCAAGCTTATTTTATTATTTGCCTAGACATGAATGTGTACGGAACCCAATTATGATGGGGGCCTTTTATGAGAGAGGTGTACAGGCAAAGTATGTGGACAGTCCTTTTTGTCTCTCTGCTACTGTTGTTGGTGCCTCTCTTCTTTCCTTAGTGACCTTGAAGCTGTGCAATGAGTCTGGTTAGGTCACTGTTCTGACTGTCAGTTTCAGATAAGGAAAGGCAGGACCATCCCTTTTGATGGTGATATCATAGTAGACCAGTTTAAGGTGGTGATGGAGCTGCATAAATAGTAATTAATTGATTCTTGAAGGTTAATTATTATTTGAGTGTCAGGAAAGCATATGTGTTGAGCCCAGCATCTCAAATGTTAAGGTCTGAAAACCTCAGATTATTTCTTAGGATTTGCGGGGTTTTTTTTTGTTGTTTGGTAGCTGTTGATCAAACTGCACTCTAAAAGTAGAAACTTAGAAGTACAATGACAAGCATGGACCTGCCTGCCAGTTAGGTAAACTGTGACATCCAGCATACACATTTCTTTCCTCTTCTTATTTTTATTTGTCTGGACTTAAAATGTATGGGCAGCCAGAGAGATTTAATGAATTTTCACTTTACAGAGAAGGAAAAGCTAATTTCCTCAGAATGAAATAAAGAAATACTTAATCACAGCTATACACAGCTAAAGTGAGATTTCTCACTAAGACTAGAGGCATGGTTAGAAAACCTCAGGCAAAATTAGGTAATAAAATAAAGGTCTCTAGAGATACAGAACTGTTTACTGTGAGAGTATGGAAAGGAACAGGGTTTGACACTTTGTAAATCTATTTTGATAGTTAAAAATCACAAGATACACATTTTAAGGTACACATGGCTGTCAGCTTGTTAATTGTAATTTCTGAATGTGGTGTTGCAATTCTAGCTACAAAACCAAACCATTGCTGCGCTGCAAAAACTTAAGGCTTTTCCTCATTTTTGTAAAGTGGCTGAGGTATGCAACATCACAAATAAAACGTGTCATCATGAGTCTAAATGTAAACCAATTGAAAGGAAAATGTTTCTTGGCTGTTAATTAGCCTTTGGGTGTAGCAAAAACACTTAAGGTGAGTAATGATCCTTTGCCCAACTATAGAAAGGCCCTAGTAGTACTTGGATGAGCAAACACTTCATTTTTTTCCCTGTAAAAGAATGCAATTTGATCATGGTACAATACATCCTATTTGTTAAAAATGTACATTAGCCTCATTTTTATGAGCAGCACCAATGGCAGTTTTACAAATGCTTCTGAGGTCTACTAGAAGTTCATTAGTGTCTTCTCTTCTCCCATTGAAAAGGTTACTGGAAACCGATACTGTCAGTAACTTGCCATATTGGTGATGCAAAGTGCATGGCATCCTCAAGAATTTTGTCAGCAGTCTGCTGCTACCTGTTTTCTTTCCTCTAAAGGAAAGAAGGCTGAGCTCGTTCCCTGTGATGGTGATCAACTAGCCATGGTCTCCAACAATTGGTTGTATTAAGGAGCTGCTTCTGTATGACTTACTTTCTCTTCTTTCTGGACAGTATGTTAATTGCCTTTTATCTTCAAGGACTCTTTAGTATTCCACTAGTCACGGTTGCTTTTTAAACACTTCTCTCTTTCCCATCAGTCCAATAGATTTTTCTGTATCACAGCAGCTTCTTAAACCTCACGGTATTTGCTAAACAGCAATTTATCCACCAGTCATATTCATTAGGTTTGTTCAGGATTTGGAGAGTTCTGATATCTAATGTGTGAAAAGTTTGTTGTTCACTGCTGGCTGTTTTTTAACTACTGTGCTATCCTGGAGTCCTGTGGTCTCGTGGGAAAGGACTGTTTTAACTGAGGAACTTTTATACTGCTCTTTAATTGCATTAATATGAGCAGGCAGAGCTTTTTCCTTCCATTTTATGAGGTAAGTTGGAAATAATTGCAATTGAGATCGCAAAATCTAGGAGAAACACTTTCACAAAACTAATCTTCATTAATATATTGTTTCTTGTTGTCTTCCTCTCAACCTCACTCTCTCCCTCTTCCCTGCCAAAAACAACCAACCACCAAGGAGAGGAAGGTTTGTGGCAGTTTTGTGACATTTCAGAGAATTAAAATCACCTCTGCTGAGGGAAGCTTGAATTTTGGACTCCTGTGTCTTTTGATTGATTTGGCAAAGTCACTTTGGAGCACTCAAAAATGATAACTGATGTAAATTAATTCCTGTGAAAATTTGGGTAGCTTGGTCTTGCTGCGTGTGGAAGTGGGAAGAAAAAAGATTGCTGCTGAAGATATTGCAGATACTTCTGCAGTAATTAAGGACAGATCTTACTGTTTTAAGTGACAAAGTTGTGGTGTGGGGTTTTGTTTTTTTTTTCCTCCTCCCCTTGGCCATTCAGGTTTAATTATCACCTGGCTATATCCTATATACAGCTAATTCTCAAACTAGAAGTTGGTGTCATAGAATATCGTGTTGGCTAGGGCATCTTGTTTTTATTGTAGGCTTTCTTTAAGTTCACACAAATAAAATCACTTCCTACTCAACAGTTTCTCCTAGAGGAAGAAAACCTGCAAACATCACAGCCCAGTACTTCCCCCCCAACCCCCGCCGCAAACAATAAGTGTTTCCATCAGTGTGCTGATTTCAGCTGAGGATAAGCATTCAAGCAGCGCAGTTTAGGAAAAAACTGCGGTTCTGCTGTGGTAACTGAGCCTAAGCCGGGACTGGGGGTCTGGCTGTGTCTTCTGGTACCTCTGCTAATCTAACACAGGTTGCAGGGAGAGGTGCATAGAAGGTATGTAAGCAAAGATACTGTTTGGCTTGCAGAAATTACTGATACGTGGCCCTCCAAATCACAGCTTGACCCCTAGATTGTCTTTGCAGAGTTTAGTTTAGCAAATTCAACTTGGGACCCAGTAACAACTAGGGAATTCTGTAAATACGTTCTCCTGTTATGTGGAGTTCCTGTTTACAGTCTGGATGTCGCTCTTGCAGAGAAGTCATCAAATTGGGAGCTTCATCCTCAATTTCAAGGGCCTTTTTCAGCCTTTCTGTAAAGTGGATAAACTCAGCCACCGGTGGGTACTCTAGGAACATTGTTTTCTATTGTCATAGAGGCTTAGTTGTATCTCTGAAAAGAGAGAGAAATCATAGAAATGTAATAATTGTCTGTCTTAATGTTATCTCTTGTAAGCAATAGTTTTATTTAGGTAATGTTTTATCCTTACAGGGAAGAGCACACCGTGACCAGCAGCTTGTGTTACTCAAGGAGCATCTAGAAAAATATTACAGGAGCCGTAATCGGAAATGGATTGTTTTATTTCCAGAGGGTGGCTTTCTTAGGAAAAGGAGAGAAACAAGCCAGGCATTTGCCAAGAAAAACAATTTGCCATTTCTTAAACATGTCACCCTGCCGAGACTTGGGGCAACACAAGTAATTCTGAAAACGCTTGTAGCGCCACAAGAAAATGGAACTCCAGCAGGTAGAGACACTGTGATAAAAGGTAAAGACCACTTCACTCTTGTGGATAAAAAGCAAATTGAATGTCCAAGATTTGAGTTAAGCAAAACATTTTGTGTTGAATCGGTCTCTTTAAATGTCAAAGACATCCATAATGCACCATCATATTTGTATAAATGTTTTTGTATTTGCTTTTAGTTCCAGTAAGGTTGGTTGGTTTGTTTGTTTGATTGGTTTTTTTATGTTGAGACACACCAAAAAAGAAAACCTTCGTTTTAATTTGATTTAGTCTACAGTGTGGCTGCATGAATGGTCTTGGTGCACATGATGGGTAGAGCAGATACTGGAATGAGCACCCAGAGTGGGCAAGAAGGTGGGCTGCTCCTTTCAGCACGATTGATGGTTTGCACTGGTTTATGGTAGTACGGAACTATAGTAAAAGTATTTCTGGAATGTGCAAACTGTGCTCAAATTTTTATTCATGGCTTTAAAAGTTTCTTTGCATCTGGTAGTGTATACTTCATTCCTCCTCTTGAACTGTTTTCTGTTGAGTTCAAGTTTTTCTATTTTCTACAGATTTTTGTGATTACCGTCCCCTTTGTTGCTGGAGTTGACTGATGACTAGATTTGAAGGATTGTTTTGGCTGTCTTATGTTGGAAGAGTTATGAGAGAATAAGAATATTCCTGCAGCATTATTGTTCTGGGATGCCTGGGCTGTAGGGGAGAGTATAGCTGGGATATAAATAATGCTTGTAGTTATGGGACTTGGTGCTTTTAGTCTCTCAATTTTTAAAATTAACTTCTTGGCATGTTCAGAGAGCGGGGTTAGATCTTACTTAACCTAGTTGTGGATTTCTGTTACTTACTATAGAAACAATGGTTTGGGGGTGTTGTGGTGGTTTCTTATTGATGGGTGGTGCTGGTATTTCCACAGCCAAATTACTATAATCATTTAGCAGTTTGAACCAAAGATCCATCCTAATGAAGCCACATATGCAGATGACTTTGGGTTTTTTCTGTGCTGAAGTTCAAATTTCAGGGTTAGTAGGAAGCCTCGTACAGAAATTGCTTCCAGATTTTTAGTTTTGAAGTTACTCTTGTCAACATAGGAAATGAATGGAGATGATGATCTTGCAGGAGTGGAGGGAAGATTTTAAATTAATTGAAAATCAAGCTGTGTAGTGCATCAGAATATTTCCTTTCAGGCTACATTCAGAAAAGAAAGGCTGAAGAAAGCCCTTGTTGTCTTCGAAGATTTTAGGGTTAAAAGAGGAACAGAATAACCTAGTCCTTGTTAAAAATTATTTTTTTTACGGAGAAAAGTTTGGCCTGTTCCTGTTCTATTTATTCCTGTCTCAAAGGCAAAAAGGTATGAAAAATAAGAAGTTCCCCAAATGTGAATTATAGGCCTTCTAGTTCTGGAAGGGGACAAAAGCCTTAGCCATCAAATAGCAATTTTATATTTTCATACTCTTAGATTGATATCAGCTTAGCTGAACATCAAACCTGGGGGCTTTTTTTTTTTTTTTTTTTGAGCAGCATAATTCAGACTCTGGAGAAATGAATATTTGATAGTAGTTGGCCTAACTGGGTACTAAAATAAAGGAATTGTCTCAGAAATACAATGGAACAACGTCTGTCCATCCTACTCAAAAGACAGAAGGAAAGACAAGTGGGCAAAAATAGGAAAGAAATGTGTGGGTTTAGCTATTATTCTTTCAGAGCAATGGACATGAAAACATAATAAAAGGGATGAAAAAGAGAAGTGAAAGTAAATTTTATGGGCTAGGAAAGAGTAATATTTGATACCTAAGAAGCTGAGGCATTTTAACTCTTCTCTTAAGCTCATGAAAATGTTTCTAGCTTGGTAAAACCTCCCTTTCAGAGATGTACAAAAGGTTAATTCTTGATCTGTATCTTGTATAAAAGACCCTTCCTCAAATCTTCTACCTTCCAAATACTTTAACTGTACTCTTGCCACTTCAGAAAATTTCTGAAGAATGTTTGTTCAGTTAAATGAAATACAATTGTATAAATTGATAAGGTTATATTATGAAGTTAGAAGCCTAATAAATTAGTGATCATCTTTTCTTTTTATCTCTTTTATCTTTCCCTTTTTTTAACCACATGAAATAACCTGGCTCAGTGAAATCAAACTTGCCTGTATCCTCCTTGGGTCACCATCATTGAGTTGTGGGTGCTAGAACTAGATGTAGTATACGCAGTAAAGGTTTGGCCAGTGTCTTGCATAGAGATTGCATATAAACTTCTTGTACATTATTACTGTATTCCTTTGCTTGGGAAGTGGCTTGTGTGTCAGTAGCATCGCACTTGAACTTCACGGTTCGCTGAAAACATTTTTCCTCTGCACCACTTGTTCTTATGCTCTATACTGTCTTATTTAACAATGTTCCTGGTGTCCTGGGTTACCAAATTATTCAACTTACTATAATAAGCTTTCTTCTCTGTTATTTATCATTCTCTCAATCTTGTTGTTACCACCAAGCTTTATTGATAAAGATGGGGTTCACCTCCCTCCCCCACCTGATTTTAGTTAAATTAGTTTATAGGTTGAGTAACTCGTCCTCATCAAAAATTATGTCCCCTTCCGTTGAGTTTCCTTGGTAGCTATGTTATGTCATGATACACAGCTGCGGTGTTCTTGAGTGCTGTCATTTTATTAGTACTTAATTCATTTAAGAATTATCCTTGTAGCTTTTATACCATTGTAGATTTTACAGCATTCTACTTTCTCAACTGGAATGGTGTATAATACTGGGTGAAAGAAGAAAAAACAAGAAAAGCAACTATAATAGAAGATGGTTCATTCTTGATACACTGCTAGGCTGAACCCTAATTTGGTACAAACCAAGTTGCATACAGTTGTTTCATCATGTCACCCCCCGCCACTCCCCAGCCCACTAGCTTGCTTTTGTACATCAAATGTCACTGGAGTTACAGTCTTCAAATAGTAGTTCAAGAATTGCGCAACAGCTAAATGCTGCGTCATCTGTCCTCCTTCTACAAGGTCTCTAATCTGATTTCTGTCATCCCTTTGGTAGAGGTGGGTTTATGTTGTGAAGTGTGAGGTTCAGTAGCCTCCCCAAAATTTCATTAGCTTTAATTATGATATTAGCGTTCTTAATATTCAATCCCCTTTTCAGTTTATTTTTGTACTAGTTATGAATTTCCCACAGTTTATTACCTGATTCTTCCTCTGTAAAGTGACAGGAAGAACAAATGTTGCAAGCTAGGCAATCAATACTATTTGATAATTCTTGTACTTAAACTGATCAGTTCTTTATCGGTTGCTTTTCCAAGGCAAGCAGCCTCTGTTTTCTTAATTTCCTCCTCCTAACAGTTTTCCAAGCCTTCTTTCATATTCAAAGTCCCAGGTACTAGCCTTCATTGGAGTGAAATTTAATTTATTGCTGGTAAATACTAAATTAAATTACTAAAATGGTTGTTGCTTGTGCTGCTTTTTGAAACACTTGTTTAGTTTTAACTAAGTTGTACAATTTTATTCCTAAATAAATAGAAGGATGGAAAAAACATATAGGAAAGGTAGTACTATCACCTGATGGCTTGAGGGCTTTCGAAGCTAGTAAGTACAGACAATGTAGTTACGTGGTGTCTGTCCCTGAAGAGATGGTATAAGTTAATTCTGGTGTCTGATGAAAGCATCTCTCTAGGCAGATGTGCTGTGCCCCCCAAACGGAGCGCTGCTGCCAGTGCCTGTGTTCCAGGAGAAGGTTTTAGTGCAGAGTAAAAATACTTGAAGGTATTAGTGCAGCATAAAAATACTTGATTCATAGCCATCATCACCTTAACCCTGTAGAGACTGGAGGGGGCTGGGGGGAGTGGTATTTTATGGTTTTGGTTGGTTTGTTTAATTTTTTTAACAGAACGCTTAGTCTCTGACACAGTTGCAAGTACAATGTTTCTTCAGTTAATAAAAATTGATGTGTGTTCTTGTGAGTTTTAGAACTAGCAAAATGTTCTAAGTGCTGAACAGCTAGCAATTCAAAGGAGTTTGGAGCAATTGTTCACTGAAGATACATGTTCCAGAGCTTATTTTTTATCAACCTTGCTGTAGTATGTTTTTTTAATTCTGCTTTATTTCACCATGCAGCAATTTTTTGTCTCCTAAGAGGTTGCTATGAGCTTGGTTAGAGCCATATTGAAATCTTATCTTGCTGTTTTCAAATGCAGCACAGTACATTCAGTTCTGATGCTTTTTCTCAGAGAAATTCAATTTTGCCTTCTGCTGGACACTGGACCTCGTAATTGATACTCTTTTAATCAAACTTTTTGATTCACTGTTATATGAGGAATGTGACTTGAATAACATGTGGGAAGGCTTTTTTTTTATCCTGGAAAAGGGGCTTCTTGTTTTGTTCCAGGTGATTGGTTACAGAGAGATCTTGGGATAATGAGTAAGATGTTCAGTCTGAGAGCTAATCTTTGGGAAAAGTTAATTTTAAGTTCAGTGGTCCAGTTGATCACATGAGGACAAGTAGAGGACAAGTGGTGAGTTACAAGAACGCATTGCTATGCAGGGGAGGCAACAGGCTCTTTTGGCTGCATTTAGAGTGATGTAAGTGTTCAGGAAACCACACCTGAATACTAGTGAATGCTAGTAAATATCTTCTTTTTCAAGTGGAAGCTGCAGTCCTCGGTTCACGCCTGGCTGGTGCATTCTTTTCCACTCGGGATGCAATCCGGCAGTATCACACCATCCTGAGCGTGGCTGGGGGTGAGGTTTCCTGAAATTTGCTCTTTCTTAGTGGTAAAGACTGACGGTCTGCTGGTGTGTTTGAAGAGTCCTGGGCATATTCAAATCCAGCTTTTAGCATTGGTTGAGAGTAACCCCAGGGAGGACATAGAGGGCACAAAGAGAAGCTCTGAACCCCACTAAATTTGTGATTGTAGACAGTCAAGTATCTGCTGTGAGAGGACCGTAGAGGATGACGGAGCACTGAATGTCTTAAAGACTCCAATGGTAAAATGTCTTAAAGACGCCGATGGTAAGTTGCTTCATAACTAAATATGGAGCAACTTACTATCACTGAATCCACAGCTAGAACAAAAATACGGGGGAAAAAAAAGCTATGAAGATTTGCCTCTGCTGGTGATTTAAAAACCAAACCAACCCCAACAAAACCAGCAAGTTAGGATGCTGTTTAATTTTTTTTTTTTTTTTTGCCTAGTCCAGAAAACTACTGTTACATGTGATTGTTCAGTCTTGTCTTAGCACTCATAAGGCAGGTATGTAGCATTCATACTAAGGTACATTATTACTGCGTGGTTTGGATGCAACTGTGTAGGGCCGATGCTTGCAGGCCTGTTTTGAACATTTATGTACTACTTAAAAAGTAGTACATGTTTTCATGGTGTCTACTCAATAATGCAGACTAGACATTGGTCTACTCTAAAAAAAAAAAAATCAGACTGCTAACATTTTGAGGCAATTTGAGAAATCAGAATCCTTCACCTGTGCTGAAAGTGGTAAGCAGACTGACACCACAGAAGAAAAACTAGTCCTCGGAGAGATCAGCTTAAATTTGGCCTCTGCAGCAGTTTCTTCTGCTGAAGTCTCTGGCAGCCAGGTACTAGGAATGAAGGGTGAGGGTGTCTTTTAATGGTAGGTAAAAAGGTCAAGAGGGTTTGGCTGTCAGAAACATCTGTGGCTGGGTTGGCCAAGCCAAACTTGGCAAGAGGGATATACGCAACTCCCTCTTTTTCAGCTACAAATGCCAAACCTGAGATTCACACCATATTATAACTAATGCGGCAGTCTTTCTGTTCTGAGTTCCTGTTAGCATTCTCCATTTGAAAAATAATAAGGTTTATTATTGTTCAAAGCTCTGCTTAGGCTTGAAAGCAGCATCCTTGGGCATACTGAGGTCCTACCTCTTTCTGTTGTGTTCAGTTGTCTGTTTCTTTTTCAGTTTCAGGATCTGTTAGAGCTTTGTGGCTTTAAAATAAATATGCTCATGAGCAGGGCACAACACAGTATAACCCCCCAAAAAAGGACAACAAGATTTGTTTCAAAATTAATTTCCTGAAATCCTTGATGACTTAGGGATTTTGGGCAGTATGAGATCTTGGATGATTATGTAAGGCTTATTTTAAACCAGAGCATGCAGAAACATGCCTGTGACTGTGATTTGATAGCACATCTTGGTAATTGCACGTGGAGGTAGCTGCGCTAAGACCTGGTTGTTCTAAAGGAGGGTCTATGGAGACTGACATTACCTTCACCTGGTGGGCTGTCAGAGGCAGGTTTTTCTCCCCACCTTGCCCTGGAAGGGGCTGGAGGTGAGCTTGAAGCTGGCCTGAGGAATCCATGCAGCAGCTCTACTTAACAAAAGCCGAATGTAGGAAATCAGCACAGAAGAGGACTGCAGGAGTCTTCCCGTAATGAAGTTTGAGCCATTATCCACTGAAAGAACAGTTTGAAATACTAGCTAAATATTTAATAAATGATTTTAAAACACTTTAAATAATAAGATAATGTGCTTGTATTCATCTGGCACTTTTTAATTGCAATTAATGATCTTTGTTGCTTACTCAGACAATTTACTTGTCTGTATCCACTCTTACTTTACATCTGGGAAAATAATAAATTGAATGGCTTTGTTCTGAAATGCATTTCTAAATGAATACTTCTGTGGATTTACTATTAATTTCATATTGGCTTTTCTCTAATACGTTGCTACTTTTAAAATGAAGGACTCTGTAGTTAGTACTTTTATTAAGAGAGATTTGACAAGCACTCTGTCATGATGCTGGCAAGCCTGGAGCCTCTAATGGGACCTCGTGTTCTCATTTCACGTGTCTGTCAGGGTTTTAAAATACTGTATTTCCAGAAGGTTATATTTCGGCTTGACCTGTGTACCTTGCACTCAGTCAAATCTTGGAATAGCACATTGCATGCTACTAATAACTCATAACCTAAATATTAGGAAATACTCTCTACCCTTATTCAGGTAGTGTATTTGCGTTTGTAACAAAGCAGTACAACTTTGTTGTTGAGTAGACGCCATGAAAACATTAGCTGCTTGTTAAAATAATTGATAGATATATGTGATAACATTGCTGTAACTGTCTTCTCACACTTAAATTAAATGCAAATTAAATTAAATGCAGGTAGAAACTCATGAGTCAGTCCTTGCACATACATGCTAGTTGGTGTTAATAACTCTGGCTTTTAGAGTGGGCCTCAGACTGTGTTGCAGATTTCTTCATGTGTGTGGTAGCTCTTCTGTAAAAATTGAGTGGTGATTATGGGCAAGACCAAACATCTGTCTGGCCCAACATCTTGTCCATGATTCCAAGTGGGTATCAGAGGAAGAGTGTGAACACAGCAAATATGTGTCATACTTGTCCTGTATACTCTCCTAGCTTCTGACTGTTTCCAGTGTGATAGGTTTCCCAAGACAGATGGAAGTTTCTGCCTGTTTAGTTAACCCTCCAATGGATTTCTTCCATATACTTGTCCAATTTCCTCTTGAACCCAACTCACGGCATCCTTGACATCCGTTTGCAAGGGGTTCCCCACAGTTTTATTCCCCTCTGCATGAAGAATCATTTCTTTCTATTGCTTTGAAAACTTTTCCTCTTGGCTTCATAGAATCATAGAATGCTTTGGGTTGGAAGGGACCTTTAGAGGTCATCCAGCCCAACCCCCCTGCAGTGAGCAGGGACAGCTTTAACCAGATCAGGTTGCTCAGAGCCCCATCCAACCTCACCTTGAATGTTTCTAGGGATGGGACCTCCACTACTTCTCTGGGCAACCTGTTCCAGTGCTTCACCACCCTCATTGTAAAAAATGTCTTCCTTATAGCCAGTCTAAATCTACCCTCCTTTAGTTTAAAACCATTATTCCTTGTCCTGTCACAACAGGCCTTGTTAAAAAGATTGTCCCCATCTTTCCTATAGGCCCCCTTTAAGTACTTTTAAGTACTTTTTTTTAAAGTGCTCTCTTAAAGTACTCTTAAGAGAGTACTCAAAGTACTTTAAGCTTCATTTTGAATACATCTATTCTTGTATTGAGAAAGATGGTGAACAGTCTATCCCTGTGTATGTTCTTCATGCCAACAGTGTTTTTGTCAACCTGTATCGTATTTCTTTCATAGCAGTCTCAACTGCAGGCTTGAAGAGTCTTGTACTTTGTACTAAGACCTAACACCTCTTACATGCATCTGCCAACAGGTGGCTGTTTTTAATAGTCAACTGTTTAAATGCTTTAAGATATTGCTGGGCATGATGTAAGCATATTACTATACTAGCGTATTAAGCATTAAGTAAGCATATTACTAGACTAGCCTGAACATAACATGACCTCAGATACAAGGCAGCTCCAGTTCCCACAGATATAAAATTGACAAGCTAAACTCAAAGTGCCATCTTGGCAATGTGCCCCTCCTTCCTGGTTTGCTTTCCAGATCCGCTGCTCTCCCTCTTTGCAAACCTGTGAATTGAAGACATGCCAGAGAGAGGTCGTGGCTAGGCTGATATCTGACTTTGACTATTGCTGGTAGTAACCTATGTTCAGTTTTAAATTTGATTCTCCTGAATAATCTTCACAGCAAATATTTTCACCTCCTTTGATCCTTCTTTCAGTTTCTGAATATGCTGAGGAACATACAAACATGTGCTGGTATCAGTCTTTCTGGGACCTTATGGTTGCAATCTCTTCTCCGTTGTGAAAACTGACCATCTTCTAGTCATTGCTTTCTTGCCTTTAATACACAAAGTGGTGTATTTCCTCTTTATCCCGTAACTCAGATTTTTAAGAACCTTTGAGGGATTTTTTTAAAAAACATCTTTGAAAATCTGACTACGTTGTCTGACATAAATCACCTTTATCCACTTGCCCTACCCCAGTAGTGAGGCTAGTTGCCCAAAGGGATCTGCGTCGCTGTTGCTTCATCAGTGATCTGCAACTGTGAGCTCTTACGAAGGCCCAGTTCTAAATGTGCTTCAAGTGCAGACTGAGAAAGTGGGATTTTTATTTTTGAAGTTTTCCTTCTGGTGAATGGGGTGAAGCACCTAACATTTGGGCCAACACGTTATGTGACTATACTCATACCTAGTGAGTAAACTTGTTCTATTCTGTGTACTACAATATGTAAGAACAACAGAAATAACTGTGGAAGTGAAATCTTAGTCTAGCTGAAGTTTGTAGAAGTATTTCTGTGCTCTGTAATGAAATCTGGATTTGATTTTTGGCTGTCTTACTTTATTTGTGCCTCATAACTCATGAAGTAATGTAAAAATGGAATAACTATCAAATGAGTGACATGCACTTTCTGATTGCTTTTAATATCACGTTTCTTTTTGTTCCTAGAGAGCAAATCGAAAGGCCTCCAGTGGGTGATAGATACAACCATTGCGTATCCCAAAGGTGAACCTATAGACATCCAAACTTGGATTCTTGGCTACCGACAGCCAACAGTTACGCATGTACACTACAGGTAGGAAATAAACCACCTACTCTTACATTGAATTAAAATATTAAAAAACAAGTATTCACAAATTAGTAATGTCATATTTCAGTATATGGGAAATCTGTAGCAATGTCTTTTTTTATGTGCGTCTCACACAGGGGGGCAACTCATATTACCTAAACACAACACAGTTTTCTTTTGAAAAGTTCAGTGATCATTCCATACCTTAGCACATTTAAGTTTTTGACTAATGTCCTGTGGCTGAATATAGTTATGGGGAATATATTTGATGGCTAAGTCATCTTTTCCACTTTAATGTTAAGGTGCTGGTAAACCCGACCTGATTTTTTTTTTTCCTTTAAATCACGACAACTTAAAAATCACTGTGTTATTAAATAATAGGTTTCCTGAGAGATTATTATATATTTTATTTAACTTTCTGACAAAGAAATGTCAGATTTTTCACTCAAAGCATACTTTTAACAGTTGAGCAGAGCAACACTCTGGAAATAGTAGCAAATCTCATTGGCACCTAGGATGGGATACTATTAAAACTTTTCTCCTCAGCTGTTCTTTGTCTCAAGACCTAAACTAACAGAGAGAGAAGTTGCGTTTTGCTTTTGGTTTGCAGTTAATTGCAAGTCTGAAATCTCCAGAAATATTTTAACACTCTTCCTCTACCAAATACGTTGATCACATTTTATCCGAAAATTGCATTATTTTTTCCTAATTCCCTTTTGCTGATTTGGGGAGCTTTTAGACTTTTACAGTAAGCTTTCAGATATCCTTGTATGGATACCCTGGGTGGCAGTTTAACTGGGAATGACCTTCTCCAGCATCACTGCTGTGTCAGTGTTGTGTGATGCAGAGTACAGGCTGCTCACTGGAGCTCCTTTCCACAGCCATGTTTAAATCTGTCCCTGCTTTTTATAGAAATCTGCCTTCAAGTTTTTCTGAAGGTGAACATACTTACACCCTAATTTATGTAAGATATCATAATATCTGTTGTGCCGTATTCAGGTCACCTTAGTACTCTGTCAGATCTCTGGGATAATTGCAAGTTGAATGTATTTAGAATTTTACTGAAGAGTATTTCCAAAAATATTTCCTTTAAAAAAGAAAGTTATCTTAAGTTGAATTAACTTCCTGCTTCTAAATATGTATATTCAAAACCTATTTTTGATTGCGAGCATAAAGATGATGTAACCTTCCTTGCATTGAACTTGAATGTTACAGTTCTTGTAGTACTAAAATTCTAAGAAAAAATGTTAGGAATTGTTTATTGCTGGGCATAGGTTTGTTGTTTTCTTCCAGAGAGTCTAAATCAGTGGTTTAGACAGGGGCAAGCCTCTCTATTTGATTATTTTTTTTTTTTTTTTTAAATAACCTCTAGTTGTTATGGCTGACCCTGTAAAAACATTTGAAGTATGCCCCAAATGGAAACTAATGCAGCGGCATGTCTTTGAAGGCTGAGAGCTGGATGCAATACCTCTGAAATGAAAACTGAGTGTCTTGGTTTTAACTGGAGCTTTGGCTAACTTTCCAGTCCTGGTAATTCTTAAATTGGTGCGTCAAGTTTAGGCACATGTCCTTTGGACTGTAAGGGCTTTAGTTGGATGCAGGGTAGCATGCTCTGGCTCTGACAGCGGGCGGTAGCAGCGAAGGCGGGGGAAGGCAGCCCGCACGCCATCCCTCTGCACGTAGACACGCGGTGGCTGTAACATGTTCTGAGCAGGCGTCGCATCTGGATTGCTCTTTTGGTAGGTGCTGATGGACCTGGCCTTCATGAACTTGTCTAATACCATTTTTAGCCTGCTTATATGTAGACTTCTACAATTTCCCATGACACGACGTGTAACTGTTCTTGAGGGTGGCAGCCAGGACTGCTGCCTTTTTGCTTGTGTTGAGTTCTCCACCTGATGCCTTTAGTGGGTGCACCCTGTTTCCCGTGTCCTGCCAGCAGTGGATGAAGCATTCCTCAGTGATGCTCTCCATGGCCCATGATTTTACAGAGCTTTCTCATATCTTGCCTTAGCTGTCCCTGTCCCCCTCCCAGCCTGATGAGTCTTCATCTCTTTGGTGTCTCCTTACACAAAAGCCTTTCCCTGATTATCATGTTACTTTTGTCTGCCGCTGTTTCTGGCTCTGCTATAACTAGTTTGTGAGTTGACTGACATCCTGAATTCCCCACAGTGATTTCAGGATCACTTGCTAGAGTAATAATAGCTGATCTGAGAGACTGTGGCAGTGTATGCTTAGCTCCTCGTGCTTTTTCCTGCCCCAGTGTTCATTGCCTTGCATTTACTGGTATTTAATTTCATCTGCAACTGTTGCCAAGTCCTTCTGCAACTCTTCTCTTCGACTACCCGGAATAGTTCTATACCAAAAAACTCATATACCACTTCTGTATCCTTCTTTGCAGATTTAGTGTATTATCTAGCTATGATATGCTTAGACCTCTTAATGTATCTGGAATTAGAGCTGTAGTTTGGAATTAATACAGTAAATTTTCACCTTCAGTGGTTTTGACAATAAAATTTATTTTTTAGATATTTTTGTGTGGCTTTAAAAATATTTTTCTGTTTTACGTAAAGGATATATTTATCCATGGCAGGATTAGCAGAGAGCGACTGTGTGTGTACATGAATTTACTCATGTTGCATCATCCTTTTCTATTGCTTGTACAGAAATTTTGTTGTTGGATTCCCTTCAGGGTATTACAGCAACTGATTCCCTCCCCGCCCCAGATCACCTGACTTTACCCATTAGGGGTTATTTTTTTAGCAGAATGCTGTAATGTGATGGGCACCTTCAGGGTTTTGACAACTTTAAATCAAGTATTGATGATTTGAACAGAGTCGTTGGGTTGGTACCACTGAGAACCTGTGAAGATAAAGTATGTGCCTGGGAAACTGGGGGTGGCAGACAGGGAAGAGTAGGGAACAACCGTTCTCTCCTGGAGGGTTTCTGGTGTTAAAGAAAACCTTACAGCTCTGCTGTCACTTTGTTGAACCTTCTCCAGGATTGGGAAGCTGGATAATTGAAGCCCAGTGGGCTGACATCAATTTCTTAGAGCTTATTTTTGAAATTATGGGTGAGTGGAAAACTGTCTCTCAGGAGCTTTGCATGTGTGCCTCCTAGATAGCATCCTCGTTTGTCTGAAAATACAGTGACGTGTTGAGCCTGTTTCTGTGTCAGACCTTAATCAGGAGCAGTTCTGGAAAAACACCAAAACCCTTTATGCTGATTAAACAGTGCATGCTACGAACAGCTGTACTTTGTGACCAGCTCACTGGTCCTTGCTGTGTCAACCTCCTTCCTGTCATCACTGGCACTTCCATTTGGAAATGCAGAGCTGCCTTTTAATGTGCTGAAAAGTGTCCTGGGAGGTTTCTGTGCGGTGTTGCTCCCTGAGAGCTGGTCAAGCCACAGCGTGGAGGATTGTACACCAGACCTGTGTAGCTGTATGGCTTGACCAGGAAACCTAAACTACTTCTTTAAGTTCATCTTCCATGTAGAGACCAAAACATCGCTGTAACAGAGCCGTTAGAGTGTCTGGGGTTGTCAGCTAGGAACGCCAGCACTTATTCTGCAGGTCACAAATCTGAGGTGGTTCCTCAGTAATTCTTAATTTTGGTAACAGTTGGGTATTAACTACTCTTTGTCCTTAACAGTGTAGGCAAGGATTAAATCAGTGACTGAGGTTTGAAAAGGCCTGTGCTGAGTTGAGCCCTGAGATGTCCCTTGTAAAGTGGGTGGATTTCTTTAACTCTTCGAAACAAGCTGAGTTAGCAAAGGAAAATCCAAGGTAAAATGGACTTCATCTTTAAAAAGATGGAAATGTCAAAAATGTCTTCCAAAGATGGAAAATGTCAGAGGTGTTTCTATTTTTCTGTGTTTGACACAGATGTCCTCTGAAATTCTCATTAAACGTACGTAGAGTATGTCTGGATTGTTGCTATTCCCCCCTTTTCCTTCATTTAGTGCAATAAAATTTTGCCCATTGTTTGTAATTTGGAATGTCTTGGGAGATTACATTTGAAATAAATTTTAAGGGTCATTTTTAAATAACTGGGGAGAAGGAAAGTTCTGCATGAGTCTGTGTGCTCTAGCGTACTAGTTTCTCATCTATCATTTCTTCTGAGTTATAGCAAAAAAAATAATTAAAAAAAAAAAAAAAAAGCACCCCTTTGGGAAAAGTAAAGCATAGTTTTGACCAGATGCCATCTCTACTGGATTAAAGGAAAATCAGGATTTAAACATGCTTTTCTCCTTTTAGAGTAGTCCAGAGCGAGGAATTGATGTATGGCAGCAGTAGGGGAAAGCAACATTTTGTATGCTACTCGAACTGGAGCAGAGGAGACTGCAGAGCCTATTTTGTTCTGGTCACTCAGTCAGTCCTTTCTGCTGTTCCCCTTGGTCACCACCTGTTTCTCTCTGCCTTACAGTCTTTCAAATCTAGTGTTTTCCTTTTCTCATAGCCTGTCCTTTTACTGCAAGATTATTTCTTTTTCATCCTACTTAGGGAGCAGCAGAGGAGTGTAGAGGACACAGCAAGCAGTCCTATGTTTTCATTTTTAGATGCTTTTCAAGCTGATGGAAATGGCAGAGAAGGTTCAGTTTAATCCAGTAATCTTATTTTTGTTTGTTTGAAAGCTCAATTTTGTTAATGAGTTGAAACTTGCTTTTTAAACCTCAATTTTCTGTACAAATGACATGTTTTTCAAAAGTTCATAATTGACTGTGGCCTGATTTTCCTCAGGATGTTAAAAGACACTTCCCTGGAAAAAAGGACAATTACCAAATTTTGGATTCTTCAAAACACAAAGGTGTGAGAACTTATCCTTTTAACTATTGAATAATTTTTTGACCCTGACAGGCCTGTCTCAAAACTCATTGGAAAGTACTGAGAAACTGGGTTTGCTCTCTGAAACATAATAGTCAAGGAAAATATCTAATTAACTTCTTCCCAGTCAAATGGTGCTGGGATTTTTGGGGGAAATTTCAACCCATCTGTTAAAGCATTA